GTTCATTCATCTACGGTTACTGGGATACGTTTGCTCAGTGGACAGGAGTGGAAATTCGAATCAGGATCTATATGATCAACTGAAATGAGGAATCGGGATCCTGGCAGACGGAAGCTTTAATATCTGGTCACTTTGGTAGGCAGATAAAATAAGTTCACCAGATCCGCGCTTACATTGTGAGGTTATCGGGTAGCCAAGCCCGCATTGGTACTAGAACTGACTTTCAATATCATCGTGCATACGGAACCGGACTGGATCATGGCCCACTACAGGAAGCCATGGGGATGAGTTCTGGATTCAGCTCCTTAACAATGCAGCCCCCATTCTATCTGAGGCGGACATAATTGAGTTCATTTGGTAGGCTTTTTTAAGCTGAATAAGCAAAGCTCCGCTTTAATGCACTGGATATTCTGGAGCCTTAAGCGCACAATGGTGTTGAAATCGACGTTCTCCCTAATTGAGTTCTGGCGATGTACAGTGACTCACTACAGGCTCTGGATTTGGTTCTTGTTACTCACTCCCCATCATAATCGATTAACCTCCATGCCCTAACCCACCCTTCTGACCATCGTCGATATTCACTAAATTTCCGCTTCCCGTCACACACCGTCTCTGCTCATCCGCCTTTTGCATACGAACTGGAACGATTCCGTATGTAGAACCATGTTCAATGGTCGCCTTAAGTTAGAACAAATTAATAACGTTCACAAATCCAGATCCATGAATAAAGATGCTGGTCCCTTGTTTGGATCGGCCATGTGTCAATACCGTTTACTTAAAAGCCAGATTAAGACTGGGGTGGAAGGTATCCATCCATAGGTGGATAGGCTATGATGAAGCAAAGATGCATCGAAGGCCTGAATTAAGGCTGTAGACACGTTGTTGCATACTGTTATCCAAGATGGATAGCCAAAGTCCGACTGCTTGTGGTTGGGGACCCTGAATGACAAGTCTAAGCCGCGAAATCGGTGGCGCTCTTGTACTCATCCGACCCTCTACAGATCTCACATTTCCTTCGCCGTTTTCATGTCTTTATGGCCTTCATTCAGATTGTTTATTACTTTTGCCGTTGATCAGTAACGTTTGGAAGACCAGACTAACAACTTCTATTTAATTATATGAGAAAAACTGTACACCTTGTTTGCTCGCGTTTTGGACGGAGTGAGCAATGTCCATGGATCAGAAGCGTGACCTTTTTCTAACAGAGGCTGTACGAAAACTCGGCATTTGGCCACCAAAGCCTCCAAGGCATTAGCCGAAGTTGGTAGAAAAATCGGATTAGGATTACTGAGCTACACCAGAAAGGAGTAACTTTTCCGTGACGGCAGGGTTAATCACACCTCGTAGGTTACGCTTGTTAGAAGATGTACTGTACACACTAGAGGACCGCCTACCTCACACAGTTACCATACCCAACTGAGTCGAAACCGTAGGCGGATGAAAGCACTAACTAGTAAACACACTCGGACTGACAACTGCCGCCCTCTTTCGAGATTCAACTTACCGATGATTAATTACGCTGACAGGCATGGTTCAATCGCCCAGTCAGTGCTGCTCGTGCATCAACGCTATCATCTTCAGAGCGCGGCCGCTCGTTTCCTCATATAGCTTCTCTGATTCAACACCCACTAAATGAATATGCCTTCACCTTCAGTCCTTAACTGTGTGTTGCCTGCTATCCCGTTTTCTGATGACTGGTAACAGTATACCCTTGGTACATGGATTATAACTATTAAACTGACTGATTTACTCTTCTGCTGTATTCGTCGGGATACTTTATCTGCTCAGCTTGTCTCTGACTCAAATAGTACCATGTGGAGTGATCCACTTTTCTTTATTGTGTAACTATGTATGGTGAATAACTTGGGTGGAACTGTAGCGATTCATCACCATTTCGTGGTCGTCATACTCTATTCCCGTTCACTGACTAAAATAAATAATTCGGTAGCCGACTTTTCGTCATGGCTGGGAAGTTAGAAATCCAGATGCTTGAAAACCAGGTGTTGTCCTAACCTTATTTTTAGCCGGAAACTTAAAGGGGATAGACAGAGAGGTGAGTCATGTCTGCACTAGCACTTCAGACGGGTCCATTGAGGGTAGATTCGAAACCACGTTAAAGACATGACATTTGTGTTTACTCAGATTTCTGTCAGTTTTTGGCCCTTTTGTAAGTAGAGAAGCCCTAGTTTTCTTCCGTTTCTAACATCCGTCACATTATACAGAGCACACTATGAATTACGAAATGCCTGATTCTTATGAGATCAGAGAACTCTTTCTGATTTGACACCAATTCTTGTAGTTGATAGTTCACAGCCAAGGAAGCATTTCCGAGTTATGTCTCGCAGGTTTTATGTATAGACAAAACTGGATGTCAAGCGAATTTCAATGGTTCAAGTTTCTGTCTTACATTACGGATCTTCATCCAGTTTTTTTTCGGAATAGTATTTATCGAGCAGGACGATGAAGGATAATGGCCGTATTGATTTACTAGATCGTCTACGCTTCGGTTGTATAAGACCAGCATGCAAATCCATCACCGTGCGATAGAAATGCATCGGCATCACAGCTTTCCGTGATTAGTCGTGGAAAACTAGGTAGCTCGTGTTCGTTACTATTCTCTAAGAAGCAATGCCTTCGTTTGGAAGGCATTTATGCATAATTTAAGGGTGTTTCCTCGTGCAGGTAGACTACGGTACACAAATTATTTTGCTGAAGTCGACAGTTTGATTTTGACGTTCGATCCATATAGCGCTTGCACTATCTTCAATGCGTTTCGTTTCGACCACTGGATACGGATAATAGAGGGGACTCATTGATCTATCTACACTTATGTAAAGTGGCCAACTTTCTGCATTCAAGGTTTTGGAATTTAGTCAAGCGCGCATGACATAGACCTCATCCTTTTTTCAAGAAAAACTGGTATGTTATACAGAAATTACACCAAAAACAAAGCTAGTTCGACAAAGAAGCTCAACGACTAATACTGCTAATTAACTTAACAGTCTCCGTGATTCTGGAAGCATGAACGTGGTTTTTTATGAGCATTTAGTTTACACATCCCCTCTGTTCTCATCACAACACCACAACGTTTAACTTTATTAGTCGATGTGAATCAATGTTCGCGCGGACTTTCATACATCTGCCTAAAAGACATGCACGCATAGGATTATCAGCTCGGTTCCATTCGGTTAAACTTGTGACTACTGACAACACAGCTGCTATATTAGCATGGTATAACAAGTCAATAGTATAAATAAATTAGACAGAAACCACTGTCCCGAATGGTGACGGTGTTCGCGGACATCCACCTTTTTATTGGGTCTTTCGGTCTCACAGACTTTATACCATTTTGGGTATCCATGTATGAGCAAGTAATTCAAGTGATGCGAGCAAATCAGATCACGTGGTTCTATTTGAACGTAAATACTACTCGAAAGTCTCCTCGTTAATTTATGCATTGTCCCGCCGAGCATCTCGGAGTGCTGTTCACGAAACGCCTTCTGACTGATTAATAAAACACGATTATTTCCAATTGGCTTGTGTAAAAGTCGCCCCCTTGAGGAACGCATCCCGTCTTCTTTATCACATAGCCGGCTAGATCTCGAAGCCAATTGCTTGGCAATTATCCAGTCTTACGTGGATGCTGATCGTCATTCAGGTTGAGCACTGCGACTTTTCACAAATAGGTATGTTTTGTAATTCAGCACCTGACACTCATTATACCATTTCCTAAATTTAATATATTAGTCAAGATGCAGGGCCTGATGCTGACACTAGTGGTTGAGTAATTGGAATGAAATTTGTCATTGAGCTGTTGGCCACGTCAAATTTGGGACTATCTGAAAACGCCGGATACTTTCATTTCCAATTACACTTGAGTTTTTCAGAGTCTTAATGTGAAAGTAATGAGGTCGCTGGCATTTTTGGACCATTTCGTTTCTGTCTTCGTAGAACTGTTTACGACACTTGTTTGACGAATAAATAGCGGCACTTCGAAACTTAATAGGACGAGACTCTAACGTGGTTTCCCCTCAAGTCGCGACTTGCCCAAAGTTTCGTGGACAAAAATTGCCGTGATCTTTCTTTCGCTGATCTTCCGTGTGTTTAGCAACTAGTCGAGCGAGCTTTTCACCAAATAACGGTGACCATTGGTGCTCGAATTCATGGAATGTGATCAGAACGCCGTGGCGAGAAAGTTCTACTCACCGCCGTCAGTACCACATCTTGTAGGTACTTATTCCGAATGAATTGAATGTGTAGATGAATCAAGAGACTGCCAATCTTCTCACTTAACTGGATTGGTATTCGTCTGCCTAACTTGTGTTCACAAAAAAATCACTGTAGTTGTTGTACGACAGGATGACCTCTTGGAGAAGGACTGCTACACATGCATTTTTCCACCACCCTTTTTCATTCTGCATTGCATTGTGTTCTATCATGGTCACAACTCTGATCAAATGCTTGCTATCCCATTAACTGTCAGTACAATCTACCATGGTTCTATTCAGCTAAGGTCAATACCAACTAACAGATGTGTGGCAACATAATGGGGCTCATTAAATCCATTTCTTCCTAAGTTGTGGTGGACCCAAAAGGTCCTAGTTTTTTTTACATTCACCCAGTTGGCTTCCACGTTACAATTTACTCTTCTAAAGTAGCAGTACTGTACTCCCCTGTATACTGTGAAACGATTCATGCGTGTCTTAGACGGGGTTCTGTGTAAACCATCCGCACATACCCTTCCAAAAAAGTGTGTACAATCGCTCAGTAATCATAGTTCCGGTGGTTCTTGATAGTATTCACTCTAGCTTTGTACGAAACCCTTGAAATGTCCTCTGACATGATGTGGATTCATACTCTCTCCGTGTGTTTTCAACGTCAGTTCAGAGGTGCTCTTGGTCAGTTCAGGATTGAGCTTGTATTAAGTTAAATGCAGCTGTTTCAATAATAAGTAGAATTCACTTCCTAGCAGTTGTGTTTCTGTTACCTCACACTTTTAGACGGCACGTTCGCATTCGAAGTCTGTCAATCCTAATCGATTTAACCGCCGACTTCGTGCTAAGACGTTTGCAGCACTGTAAGTCATCCATCCAGTTGCTTAGCGTAATTCGCATGTTTGATTTTGTCGTTTGTTTGCGTGTACTTCCAGAGCATGTTTATCTCTTCACATATTTTTTACTCATGTGGGTGGGTGCTTGTTAATTGGCGGTTGTGGGACCCCTGCGGGCATACTGAGTTAGACTGTCTGCTGCCCCAAGACCGTTCAATCAGGCGACCATCTTACAATTTCAGAACCTCTCCGTCGACTGGTGTGACGTTCTCTGACATGAACCTATTCATTCTGCGTTAATAACGCATGGGTCATGTTGCGTGGTCATGTCACTACCTACACCCACTACATTTTAGATAATCTACAAATAAGTTACTGATAATTTCACTGCTATACAATGCACTTCCCGGAAGCCAATCTAAGGACGCATTATGCACCGCTTCTATGGCCGAATTTCCCTCTTGGGCTCTGAGAAATTACCTTGCTACCTCGGGGATTGCTAGTAACTTGGATAGTATTGCAAGATCATGGAATGTTTTCCCGATACAGTGTTCCTAATCGGAATTACAGCAAACGCATGAACAATACATTTGACAATTCGCGTAGCGGGGGAAATTCGTACACAAAGGTCGCTCCGGCTTCCGTTAACCTTTTTGAATGAGACAGTGTCAAAGGGCTGAATACAGTTTCACTTATGTTGAGTCAATACTATGTTGGTAAAAAACGGGTCACTTGATCATACTGGGGTATTCATCTTCACAGGCGTTCCTAGCGTAGTGAACATTGACATACTCTTATTACACTCGTTGTCGCTTGCTTATAGGGGCATCGACATCAGGCTCGAAGCGTTGTGGTGGTTTCGATGAACCATTCATTCCGATTGACGTAAAGCTTTTCAACCAAGCAACCTACGGTCACACATTTTCCCCAGTTCTAATCTCAGTTACCACGGCCAACTTGTTCTGTGGGACAGATTCCAGGTCATAAAATTGTCCGAGGCTGCGGAATAAATGAACACTGAATGAGAATGAGATGGAAATCGACATTTTAATTGGATGGTGAACGTTTGCCGAACGGATGACATTCTGGTGCAAGATTAGTTAAGGTTAATGTAGTCCTTCGATGTTCTTACTCCGCGCAACAGTCGGATAATAGCTAAGTATTTGTCGTTCTGCACAGGGTTGGATTCGTAACACATGTGTCCAGTTTGATCATAAGTCAATGAATCGATTACGGAAACCAAGTTTGGCTAATTTGTTCAACGTGATTTATCTAGTTCAGTCCCAATACTTGTTGGTTTACATCAGAACGTACTCCTGAAACCGTGGGTGATTAGAAGCGGGTTAGGCGAAATAAACTATTTCACTGAATTTATTTGCGCAAAACTTGGTTAGTATGAGAATCAAGAGAGCCACAATGGCCCAAATAAATGTCACGTGCCTTTTCAATGCCTCGGGTGAATTATACAAACCGTCTGCCACAACTCCCACATCTTTAATTTGTACCTATTCGGTAGATGTCAGCATCTCTTACATTCAACATTATGGTTTTCTCTCCTCGTGCTAGTGGAATAGCTGCGTGATGTAGATAAGAGGCTTTGTGTTCTGTTGGTTTCACCCTATGATATTGATTTGCGACTCAAGCTTGTAGCAAAACAATCCTCTACATGAATTTACCACATCCAGCGCTAAAACCACAATTCCTCCAGTCAGTTTTTCCGAGCTGTCACATTCTTTCTGTACCTAGTATTCATGCGACTCTAAGGTAGTACGATGACTGAGATGCTGTCCAAGCTTGGGCATGATCAAGAGAAATTCAGTAGGCTGATGAGTTGAATATGTCACAAGGTTTGTCATAGAGGAGAATTTTCATCTGCTACGACGTCTTCAGCTAGGCATAATTAAACTCCGTTTCGATGTGATGGGGAGGACGTATAGGGGGTCTTGAGGAACTGCTTCAAGCCTCTTAAGAATGAAGCAAGCTGCTGTCAAGACGTTCGAAATGTGGAAAGTGGCAAGTAGCACACTGGATTGTTGCCAGATTACTCAGTCCAACGGCACAAGGAATTTTTTCTTGCTGAATCTCACTCAACCACTGTGGTTCTTGGTTGTTTAATTGATGAAAAGCTTCTGAGGTTCCATTGGTTGTTTAATTGATGAAAAGCTTCTGATGAAAAGCTTCGCACCGGTCTAACGTAACTACCTGCGGACATTTCAACCACTTTTCTCTTCTTATTTCTCGACCCTCCGAACCAAACGGACATCCCACTCTGTAAGTGTGTTCAATTTTAACCAACTGACAGTGCATCAAGTTGGATTGTGGTCGCGACTGAAAGGATTCTCGATTAGGGTCTCCAAGAAAATCAGCCATACCATAGATCCGGTGCTTGAAGGACACGAAGTGGGTTTTGTCAAAGGTAGGGTTTTTAGTGTCGCATTTGGCCTTGAAGGTGTCGCTGTCGGGTTAATTGACATTCGAAATCCAGTCAATTGGCAGAATCGTTTGATGGGATTGTTCCATCTTGTGATTCATAAGCTCCTCAATATTAAAGTTCGCATTCTTCGAAAGCTTGGTGATCACAAAGAAAAGGGTAGGCCACATGATCAGTGTCCACACATTTTTCCATTTCATGCAACGGACTTCATCATCGTCATCATCATCATCATCATGAGCACTATGACATCAATGTTCAACGCTGATGCTTTGCTGCTGTACAACCATGGTTTATTTGAAAGCCCTATTGTGGAGAAAAACATAAAGGTCGACCGGGAAGGGACTTGGTGCTACCTTATTACAATCATTCCGGGGTGGCTACACCTCCAAGGACTCATTCGGTTAATCTGGATAGAAACTGACAACACGAACGCCACTGATATCGATTAGCAGACATATTTTGTAGCGTCTCCAACCAGCTGCAGTGGGGATCACGCGGTCCCCATTCTGGTAGGCGAGTAGAACTGAGAGCACCCAAACGTTTGGTAATCTGTTTCAAGCCCTTCTTCCAGGTAGGGGTTGGCCACCTCTCTGATTCCGCCACTCTCGTTAGGGCACAGGCAACAGCACTCTCTTCGGCAAGCGGTGGTTTGGCATGCGCAGTACATGACCAAATCAACGCAGCTTCTGGTGCTGGACAAATTCTTCAATGAAAGTCCTTGTTGCACAACCGAAAATTCGCTTTCGAATTACGAATTCGCTGGCACCAACCTACACGAGCTCAGATCCTGAAACAACGAGTGTCGAACACATGAAGACGTCTCAGTTCCTCTGCTCGAACAGGCCAAGTCTCACAGCCATACAACAAAGCAGCCTGCACTGTAGCTTGATGCAAACGCCCCCCACTCTGACGCCTAGGTGTCTCAAATCAGCAAACACGACCCGGTCCTTGCAGATTCGTGCATTGACGCCATTTGTCACCCTACAGTCGGAAGTAATACAACATATAAGATACGTAAAACGCTCCACTACTTCGAGTGTCTCTCTCTGGATTGGAAATGGCGCGTTCAGTGACCGCACGTCCAAGAGCATGACCTTGAACTTTGTGGGTAGAAAGTGCATACCAAAGGATGGGATGACTTTGGCCAGATCATCCGAAAACACCTGCGCCTTCTCGAGGACTATAACGATGTCATCTGGATACTCTAGATCGACAAGGTTCTGTCACGGGCTATTTGAACACCGGAGTTTGATGACCTTCCAGCGTTCGTCTTATTATCTCACCGATCACGAAATTAGATAGGAATGGGGAGAATGGGCATCCCTGACGGACGGAAGCTTTTGGAGAGCTCGCCGTATACTTTCACACATCCGTAATTTTGAGAGTACGGAGAACTCATTATGTTTACGAACTTCTGGGGAATCCTTTGATTGTCGTAGTGTGTCAAGAAGAACAGACCATTGAACCGAGTCAAGTGTGCCTTGGATATCTTGAAATACTGGAATTGTGGGTCTTTTATACACATGGCGTTGTTCTGGCACCTAGTGGAGTATATTTGGTCAACGCAACCTTTATCAGGTCAGAATTCTGCTTGTTGCTCTCGAGTCTGTTTCGTGAGTCACCGTAAGGCGACGAAGCCCCAGTGGCGCCAAAGGTTTCGTAACGACCGGGGACAAGCTGACCCCCCTCTGGTTTCCACACTCACTATGAGTCCCTTTTGAATATGGGTACTATCACCAAGTCTTTCCAGTTATCTGAGATGGTATTTTCCAAAATGCAGGCAAGCAGATCAGACAAGCGCTGACTGATGATTTCTCCCCGATCTCTGTACAGTGTGGGTGGAAGGTCATCCGGACCAGAAGCTCCGTGGCGCTTGAAAGTACATATACTGTCATAAACTTTTCAGGTTGTAGGGGTTCTATATTCCGAGTTTTAAGCAGTGCCACTGTCCGATCAGATATCCAGTGCTTGAGTGAGCCTGGTTGCACCGTGCCACAAGCAAAACCAGAAGGTGGCGAGCTCGTCTCATTATGGATTCGCATCTGGTTGTGAAGCATCTGGAAGAGACTCTAGAAGACGATTCTGGTGAATTTGCCTAACATCCGGATTTGTCAGTATCTGAGCTTCCAGGGGACTTTTTCCACAAACGTGTTGCAAAACTACATGCACTGTCACTCATCCACGGACAACGTTTTCTTTCATCGATAACTGGTAGCACCATGGACATCATGCGGTTAAGCTAATTCCATTGTTCAAGATGTTGGTACTGCGACGTAGCATCCGGTGGGTTATCACCTATCTGCAACAAGCCTTCTCCCTGGTGCGCACATCTCCGGCCGAATCCAAGTCCACCAGCCAGTTGAGTCTCAGAAAGGCCAAACCAACCCATTTGTCGTCGGTGACTACACTGGTTTCTGAGACCACAGACCGTTGTAAAATAGCGCCTAGAGTATAAGCAGCGCATTAATCTGAAAATGATGGATCTTTTCTCGTGATTCTATTCACACGTTTCTTAGTGGACCACACAAATGCGATACTGATACATCTGACAGGACGTATGCTCACCGCGCATTTTGACAATAATGCTCGTCAC